CATCCCTTCCCTCCAGTGTGTCAAATTACTGATCTGAGCATTTCAATCTCCTCACATCATGTGAGCTGAGTTTCACCAAACAATGCTGGGTCTCAGTTAGACACAGAAGTCTTCCTTTCAGGAGGAAATGTGAGAGGCAGCAGTGGTGCATACTGGGGGAAATAACTGGAGAATTGATTTGTATCCAGAGCAAAAAACCATAAGGACATTGGTCATCTTACCTTTACAGATATATCTCATGCAGTGAAGTGAAGTTCTTTCTCTGAGCTCTTCTTCTAAATTCAAAACTGAGGCAGTTACAGACCTCTAACTCACCTGTTGAGGATGGAATTGGATTCTCTAAACTGTCAGGTGCTTGTGCTTGCCAAAGGGATGAAAAATGTCATATGTATCTTTGATAATAACATTCTCTATTCCTTTTTCCTTTTTTTTCCCCACAGCTCCATTCAACCCTCCCAATGATCCAGACAGTATGGTCAAGTTTGATGCCTATGGAGATGGGATAGGACGATACAACGTGTTCAATTTCCAGTACACTGGAGACAGATACTCCTATGTGAAGGTTGGGCAGTGGGCAGAAACCTTGTCCCTCGAGGTAGACTCTATCCACTGGTCCAGGAACTCTGTCCCTGTCTCCCAGTGCAGCGACCCCTGTGCTCCTAACGAGATGAAGAACATGCAGCCAGGAGATGTCTGCTGTTGGATTTGTATTCCCTGTGAAACCTATGAGTACCTGGCTGATGAATTCACCTGTGCAGACTGTGGGCCTGGGAAATGGCCTACAGCTGACCTGACTGGCTGTTACGACCTGCCAGAAGACTACATCAAGTGGGAAGATGCTTGGGCAATAGGTCCTGTTACCATTGCATGCCTGGGCTTTATTTGTACTTTCATGGTCATTGCAGTGTTCATCAAGCACAACAACACCCCCCTGGTCAAAGCCTCTGGCCGTGAACTGTGCTACATATTGCTCTTTGGGGTCTTCCTGTCTTACAGCATGACTTTCTTCTTCATAGCCAAGCCCTCTCCAGCTATCTGCACCCTCCGCAGGTTGGGGCTAGGAAGTTCCTTTGCTGTTTGCTACTCTGCCCTCCTGACAAAAACGAACTGCATAGCCAGAATATTTGATGGTGTAAAGAATGGTGCTCAGAGGCCCAAGTTCATCAGCCCCAGCTCTCAGGTCTTCATCTGCCTGAGCCTCATTCTGGTGCAGGTTGTGGTGGTGTCCGTGTGGCTCATCTTGGAGGCCCCAGGCACCAGGAGATACACTCTGCCTGAGAAAAGAGAGACTGTCATACTGAAATGCAACGTCAAGGATTCCAGTATGTTAATGTCCTTAACCTACGACGTCATCCTCGTGGTCTTATGCACTGTATATGCCTTCAAAACCAGGAAATGCCCAGAGAACTTCAACGAAGCCAAGTTCATCGGGTTCACCATGTACACCACGTGCATCATCTGGCTGGCCTTCCTCCCCATATTTTATGTGACATCCAGTGACTACAGAGTAAGTCTTTGCATGTCTCTGTCCATCAGTCACGTGCAGCTTTCACTTCTTTTCTCCTCTGGATCCCCTTACAAACAAGTTCTCTTTCAGTGTTAATGCTCACCTAAGCATATCACCAGATTTGATGATCCAGAGGGAGGTGTCCCTACCCAGGGCAGGGGGTTGGGACTAGATGATCTCTAAGGTCCATTTCAACCCTAAAATGACTCTGTGATTCTATGATTTTGGCTTATGTCTGTGAAAGTCTCACTTCAAAAAGACCATGTACAGTTTGAGGTGGAAAGGATTAGTGCTATCAACCTGATTGCAATAGAGGCAAAGTGTATGGATTAGGTATCAATAGTGGTTCACATCAGTAGCTGAAGTCATAGTCCTACCAGAAAAACCCAGTAGATCATGAGCTGGAATGAGTCATAATGAATTATTTGGCAGAAATGGGCCTTAAAATAAAACCTGACCTAACTAGTCTGAAAAAGAATCTGCTATTGAAACAGGAGATTTTCTTCCAGATAAAAAATAGGAGGATAGAATTTCAAAATTTCCCATGAAACAGGTTGTTAATAAAAAAATATAAAAATAATCCAACAAATGTTATTCTTACCTAAAGCACCTTCTATTCTTTGGGCACTGTGTAAAACACAGACCTTGCTGAGCAGAAAATCTTGGTCAGCAAACTCTAGAACCCTTAAACTGTTGAAATGGTCAGGGTGTTGCAGAGTTTCAGGTTCAATAAGATCATATTTTTGAACAGAAGGAGATTGTCTCAGCGAAAGATTCAGATCTGCTTCACTGGAAATCTCAGAGTTGCTGCGATGTGAGAAGTGGCTGCTGCAGTTGGGCCTTGCAGCAGTTTGCAGGGAATGAGCTGAACTTTGTGCCCAGCAGAAAGGCAGATCAGCTTGGGGGGTTATTATTGCCAGGAGTGTGTGCATGAGCTACCATCTAAAACTGGGGAGTTAATAATGTCACTTCACACACTTTTGGTGTGACCATCCTGGAACAATATATGTAGGACTCTTTTTCTCAGCTTAGGAAAGGCACTGAAAACCTGGAGAAAACAAGGAGAGCTAACAAATGACGCAGTAAGACACACAGAGTGACAGTAAAGGAGCTAAATATATTTAGTCTAGACAAGAGTAAACCCAGGGAGACGTGATCACAGACTATAAATAATTTGAAGGCAACAACAAGAGGGGAAGGGATTATTGAGCCTCAGAAGAAGTTAGAAGAGTGGGTAATGGATTGAAGCTAATGAAGGAAAAGTTTAAGGAAGGCACTGGGGAACAGCTCTGGACACCCAAAGCAATCAAGAAAACAGACATAGGGGGAGGGAAATCTCAGTGCAGACAGTCACATGAGTGAGCAGCACAGACACTAATGGGCAAGAGGAGCATGACTTGGTTGCTCAAGCAAAATTTTGCAGCCTTATCTCCTGAGTGGGTTTTTTCAAAACCACTTGTAGGCATTTAATTTATACACAATGTTCAAAAAAAGCCAACTCAAGTCCTACAAAATAGGTGGGAAATGCTTTTAACACCTTTTTGACAAGGCTACTCTCCTGGGGCTCCTTGATAAAACCCATATTTAATTTTCATTCAGTGTTACATGTTGACTCTGAATCAACTGGTGCCATGCTAATGTAGCCCAATTCTGGGAGCATCACCAATAAACACCCTTAGAAACAGAGTAGTAGTAATACAATATTAATGCTGACTGGTTTGAGAGGTTGTAGCTAAGCAAAAACATCACTCAGGACTCACCTTTCTGGAATAAAAGGGAGAGCTCCTGGAGATTTATCCAGAGATTTGTTGTTCAAATCACCATAGCAGTGAAAGAAAAAAAAATGTGGTTCAACATAGGATGCATCCATAGCAATCCTGAAGCAGAGATGCCCCTCTATAAACCCTCCCAGGTGCCACACAGCATGTTGGCTATGTTGGGATGGCAGATGACTCTGTCTTACACACACATCAAATTACCACTGCTATTTGCAGCCAGATGGGTAAGGAAGATGTTAAGCTGCACTGGTCTTAATGTCAACCCTGGATCAACTAGTGACCAACCTCTGACTTAGAGCCACTGATGTCAATGCTTTGAGTGCAGTGTTTCAGCCAGTTTTCATTCCACCTCACTTATCTAGTCAGTGCTTCATCAGCTTGGACATGAAGATGTCACAGGAGAATGCTAAAAACCTTGCAAAAGACAAAATGCATCAGCTATTCTCTCATCATCCACCAACTCAGTCATTTAGCTGTAGAAGTTTATCAATGTGGTTATACATAATTTCCTGTGTAAATCCATACTGACAATTGGCAGCTATTGCTCACCTGTGCAAGCCTCCTGCAAACTTTATTTGCTTGATGAGAGTCCAAAGGAGGCAACGAAGGTGGTGAAGGACTTTGAGGAGAAGCCACATGAGGAGTGACTGAGGCACTTGGGCTGTTCAGCTGGAGAAGAGGAGACTGAGCACAGAGCTCATGGCTGGATACAACTCCCTCAGGGAAGGAAGTGCAGGGACAGCTCTGACCTCTTCTCTCTGGGCCCAGGGACAGGACCCAGGGAATGGGCTGGAGTTGTGTCAGGGAGGGTTAGGCTGGAGATTAGCAACTGGTTCTTCTTTCCCCAGAGGTGTTTGGGCACTGAACAGCTCCCAGGGCAGTGTCACAGCCCCAAGGCTGACAGAGCTCCAGAGGTGTTTGGCCAATGCTCTCAGCACAGGGTGTGACTGTCAGGGATGTCTGTGCAGGGCAGGAGTTGGACTGATGATCCTCAAGGTCCTTCCAGCTCTGTGATTTCCTGCCCACTGGGATGGACCATTGTTAAGCTTGGATGAAGTGATACTGGGTTGATACTGGAGGTTGCCCAGACCCAGCTGCAGCAGCTTGCACTTAGTCTTGTTAAACCTCATGAGATACTCATGGATCCACTTCTGAAGCTTTTCCAGTTCCCTCTGGATGGCATACAGTCATCCATGAGTAGGAACCACACCTTGATGTCATCAGCAGATTTGCTGAGGTTGCACTCGTTCCCTTTGTCGACGCCACTAATGAAGATATCAAATCACACTGACCCCAGTACAGACCCCTGAGAGACACCACTTGTCTCTGATGTCCACCAGGACTCTGAGTCATTGACCACTACCCTCTGGATGTGACCTTCCAATCAATTTCTTATTGAACCATGTCAAATCCATATCTCTCCAATTTAGAGAGGAGGATGTTGTGGGTGACTGTGTCAAAGGCTTTACAGAAGTTCAGATAAATGACATCTGTAGCCCTTCCCTGGTGCACTGGTGTAGTCACTCCCTTGTAGAAGGTTGCTAGGTAGGACCTGCCCTTGGTGAAGCTGTGCTGGCTGTCTCAAATCACCTCCCTGTGCTCCATGTGCCTTAGCACAACACGTGGCCCAGCAGGATTTCCTCCACTCCACCAGCACAGCTGTCTGGTACATGAGGCCAGCTTACACAGCAAACTGCTGGAGGGACCTGGCTTCAAAGAACCCTGTGGGAAGGTGGTGCTTTTAACCCAAATCATTTAATTGATTGAGTGTATAATTATGGCAGCACAGCTGAGCTGCTCCAGGAGGCACAAAGCCTAGGGAAGCAGGGGGGGAGGAGGGGTTTGATGGTGAAGAGAACTTACCTTAGAATCACAGAATCAACTGGGTTGGAAGAGATCTCCAAGATCACCGAGTCCAACCCTATGGTGGTTACAAGCCCATGGCACTAAGTGCCATATCCAGTCTCACCTTGAAAACCTCCAGGGATGGTGACTCCACCACCTCCCTGGGCAGCACATTCCAATACCTGATCATTAGCTTCATTTTAGTCTTGTTTTACCTGTGCAGTGCCTGGTTCAATACCCACCTGAACTGACAGCAGAGCTCTGTGGGCAAAATGCAGAGGAGCAGAGGAGAAAGTGCAGCTAAGCAGTTCCTTTCTCATGCAGCTTCCATGTTCCCTCACCCTGTGAAAGCCAAGCACCTTTTCGTGGCTCTTGCCACATCCACGTGGTGTAAAGGGTGATTGCTACATGATCACATTAATTATACTCCTCAATGACAAAACCCCAATCATGCTCAGCATATTTATCAAGCAACAAAGTCCAGTCCCTACTCTATGGTTCATTTTGCACCAGTTGTTTCTGACAAGTCAATACAAGGCTGATGGCCAAGAACTGCAGGAGTGTAACTAAGGAACCAGGAGCTGTGGATATATAATCATTGGAGTTAAGCAGTAGAGTCTAAAGCAGTTTAATTCAACATCTTAATTAAGGAATCTGCTTGGAAGAAAAGAGTATAAACTGAAAATGAGGCACTAAACTTGGCACCTTGAACAAAAAGGATAAAAGGTAGGCAGTGCCAGCAAAGCTGTGCTAAAAAACACCCCAAGGAAACCACTCTGAAGTCCTGCAGCTCTACAAACAGTTCACTTCTGAGCCCAAAAACTGATGGCTCAAAGTCAGCTCACCTTTCAGGCCCAGTCTGGTCTGTGTTTACTCCAAATCACACCTACATTTCTGCAAGGGATTACTCAAATTCTTTAACTAGGACTGAGGCTGGAGACTAAACTGGTTTTCAGGCTGAGGCATCTAATGTAAACCCACACAAAGTAGGGTATGTGTGAGCTGGTTCCCACTGCAGCCAGAATTGCTCAGATATTGCATGACAGGAGTTACAGAGGGTTCCCTGACCACATTAGAAATCAAGAGTATGAGATAAAGAGAGCAGAACTATCCTTTCTGTTCTGAACTGAGAGAGAACACAGTCTCCCCCTGACATACAGAGACACAACCCTAGGATTGTGGAAGAAAAGGATGTGACAGATGTTCATACCAACCTGTACCAGTGCAAACTGCTACAGAAAAAGAGAAGGTTGTGTGGAGACCTCATAGTAGTCTATCAGCATCTGAAGGGGCTCCAGGGAAGCTGCAGAGGGATCTGTGTTAGGAGCTGCAGGGACAGGACAAGGGGCAATGGGCACAAATTGAAGGAGGGAAATTGAGATGAGATGTTAGGCAGAAGTTTTGCCTGTTCTGGTGGTGAGACCCTGTCCCAGGGTGCCCAGGGAGGCTGTGGCTGCCCCAACCCTGGCAGTGTTCACAGCCAGGTTGGATGAGCCTTGAGCAACCTGCTCTGGTGGGAGGTGTCCCTGCCCAGGGCAGGGCTTGGGGCTGGGTGAGCTCTAAGCTCCATTCCAACCCCTAAATTCTATGATCCTATGAACCTCCAGGACTGTGGCTCCTGCTGATGTATGTTACTGTTTCTAACCTTGTGCATTTCAGAGCTGTCCATACTGAATCCCAGTGCTCTCCACCCACTCTCTCCTAGGTGCAAACCACCACCATGTGCATCTCTGTGAGTCTGAGCGGCTTCGTTGTGCTGGGCTGTTTGTTTGCACCCAAGGTGCACATCATCCTTTTCCAGCCCCAGAAGAATGTGGTCACTCACAGACTCCATCTCAACAGGTTCAGTGTCAGTGGGACCGGGACCACCTACTCTCAGTGTAAGTAACAAAACTCCCAGCAGTGTATCAGGATGTGAGGGTTGGGAAAAGGCAAGATGGGTCTTTTACCAGCAGCAGAAAGAACTTTACAGGCTGAACTATGTACCCTGTGAAAACATCACTGCATTTGAACAGTCATAAGCTGAGCCAGGGCAGAGTCAGATTGGGTGTGAGGAGAAATGTTTTCCCTGTTGTGGTGTTCAGCACTGGGATATTGCCCAGGGAGGTGGTGCAGTCACCATCCCTGGAGGTGTTTCAGAGGTGTCTGATGTGGCACTGGAGGATCTGGGTTAGGGTTTGGGGGTTCCAGCAGTGACAGGTTCATGGTTGGACTGGATGATCTTTGAGGTCTCCTCCAACCTTGATCACTCTATGATCTTCACTCTCCTCATTGTAAGCAGTTCACAGCTTTGGTTTTGTTTTGAAGCTGTGGCTCCTTTTCTGGGGGAGTTGCTCAGTCAGCTGGATATTTGTTGGGGCTTTTTCCTTTGTCTGTGGACACCATGTCTACCCTGGAAAGCTGATTGAAAAGCACAGTACAACTCTAAAGAGGCAAAGAATAAGCAGCAGAGGAAAGGGGGACATGGAGCAAGGCTCACACTAACCTAGCCTGAGGTTTTTGAGTGTCACCTAAGTTTCAAAACTGGCTTTCAATTGGAGAGTTACACATGGACTGGAACTCCTCCAGGGGTCCTCTATAGGGGCCAGAAAGAGAATTGAAGCTACTTTTTATGACCAGACTGGTAACTTTTTTCTCTCAAAATTTATTTTGCCAGGCCTTGTTTCAAACTAGCTGGGACATATGGATTTTGTATGTGATTAACTCCTGGTTCTCCAGCTCTCAGGGACATGGTGTGACTCTTGGGGTTGTCCTGTGCAGAGCCAGGACTTGGGCTCGATGATACCTGTGGGTCCCTTCCAAGTCAGGATGTTCTCTAAGTGGCACACAGAGAGCAGGTTTGAATGTTCCTGGCTCTCTAGACAAAGTGCAAGGTGCCCATGGCAGTGCTGAGCCCTTGCATTGTAGAATCATAGAATCAACCTGGTTGGAAAATAACTCCAAGATCATCGAGTCCAACTCTACCATGGCACTAAGTGCCACATCCAGTCTCAGCTTGAAAACCTCCAGGGATGGGGAATCCACCACCTCCCTGGGCAGCACATTCCAATGCCTGAGCACTCTCTCTGCAAAAAATCTCTTCTAATATCCAACCTAACCCTCCCCTGGCAGAGCTTGAGTCTGTGCCCTCTTGTCCTGCTGCTTTCTTTCCCTTGGATTATCTAAGCAAAACGAGGGACAGCCAGGAAAGAGGAGATCAAAAGCATGAACTGAAGCCAAATCACAACTTCTGGTGATGTCACACGTTTGCCCTTGGTCTCAACACGATGCCAAGTGAAGGTGAAGTGTCTCTTGCAGATCCAGCAGTATTTCAGGAAAGCCCTTGGCTGCTGCTGTAAAGATGTGTAACTCAGAACCCTGCAGGGCCTGCCATCACCACTGCTGAGATCTGTAAGGAAAAGCAAGAGTTTTTTGGTCTGGCTCAGGAGATACTTGGTGTGAGCACTTTACTCCACCCAGCAGAGTTAATTGCTGCATCCCAGCACTACAAGAGAGGTACCTGATGTGGAGGAAACCTGGGAACTCAAAAGACAAGGCCACTCATTTCTCACCTACCACTATCTCTTTCTGTCCCATTTTGATATCCTCCTGACCCAGTTCTTGTAGTATTTGAGCTATTCTTGCTTGTCAATGTGTTGGACTTCAAAAACAACCCTGAAGCTAGAAAAGCTCTGGGTAGGTGAGTGATGTTCACAGACACAAAATGCTTTTGCCTGCAGCCACACTGCAGTGGAACAGGGATTTGAATCAGGTTCCCTGAGCAGAACTGATCTTTCTATTTTCCAGCAAAAAGTAGAAGTAAAAATAACAACAATAATAAAAGATTCAGGTCAATATGCTGACAGGTTATACACAGTCAAAAATGGAATACAAAACCTGAGACCTAATTCTCACAGCTCACAAACATGATGCTCTGTGACCTTTTAGCTACAGAGGGTGGTGAGACCCTGTCCCAGGGTGCCCAGGGAGGCTGTGGCTGCCCCAACCCTGGCAGTGTTCACAGCCAGGTTGGATGAGCCTTGAGCAACCTGCTCTGGTGGGAGGTGTCCCTGCCCAGGGCAGGGCTTGGGGCTGGGTGAGCTCTGAGCTCCATTCCAACCTCTAAAATTCCATGATTCTCTGATTTGAAGAAAGGATAGTTTGTTCTCAAAATGATGCTGAGCATCTCACAGAACCAGTGTGCACCTGAGGGTGTAGCCAGCACCAGATCTGGAAGACTGAACATGCCCTTGTCAGCTGAATAAATCACTTTTTCCACTGGCTGGTTGAATCTCCTGTGGCACTGCTCGCCGTGTGCTTTCTCTGATGAAGGCATCACATTTCCCTGGGTCACTGTTAGCATTAACCTAATGTATCTTTGAGAAAACACCTTTATGGTGCCGTGAGCAGAGATGTCACAG